GGGGAGCTCGGGGCCCTGCCTCCGGCCGGGGCTAGGACGCGCGGGGGGAGCCCGGGGCGCGTGGGAAACCTCCGGCCCTTGCCGCCTCCTAGAGCCTCTGACACCCGCAAGGCAGCACGTGCGCTGGCGCCGGCCGCGCTGCTGAGAGGCCCCGGAGCAGGTGGGAGGGAGAGGAGGTGAACTCCAGCGGTGTGACCGGCACTGGGTGCAGCAGCAAGTGAATGGGCGCCACAGCGGGGGGAGGGAAGAATAGCTGAGAAAGGGAGTTGCTTGTCCCCTTGCCGCCTCCTAGAGCCTCTGACACCCGCAAGGCAGCACGTGCGCTGGCGCCGGCCGCGCTGCTGAGAGGCCCCGGAGCAGGTGGGAGGGAGAGGAGGTGAACTCCAGCGGTGTGACCGGCACTGGGTGCAGCAGCAAGTGAATGGGCGCCACAGCGGGGGGAGGGAAGAATAGCTGAGAAAGGGAGTTGCTTGTCGGTATCCTCGGATGGGCCTCCTGGCATTCTCCCATGGAAAAGCCACAACGGTATACAGGCAAGGGCACAGCAATCTCTAGCCATTTTCTAGTGTATTTGAAGGTGTTCAGCAGCCTTTGGCTGTGATGCAAAACGTAATTTATATTCATATTTTAATTTGGTACTTTATCACTTAATAATGGGAATTCAGTATATACCTTGTCTAGCTCATCCCAGGAGTGCACTTATGATAGGTATTGTGGGAACACCAGCCATTCTCCCTCCCTATGACACTGGACATTCACCTGTAAAGAAATCTGAGAGGGAAAATCTGTAGGGGCATGATGCTACATTGTCTTTTAAAAAGTGTCAATGTTCAGCCATCTGCATGGAAACATTCTACTCCCGGTGCTGAATTCTTCCATCTCTGCACCAGAGCCTCATAGGAAGTTAGGAGTTTAAATAGAATTGTAGATCTAGATGCTAAATCCTGGGAAAGAAAAAAAACCAAAACACAAGAAAGCATTTTCATGTCTGGCTGGTGAGGATTTTTTTAAGTACAGAAACATATATGCTTACATCCTGCATGTGAGATGGCTTTGTACCTATCACCAATCCACATGTGGACATGGTAGTAAGGGAGGAAGGAGGCGAAATGCTTAATGTCAGCCCAAATACTGAGTCATACTGGTGGTGATTATAAGCAAATGCCAGAAGCAAACCATGAGCTGTAACAGCTAACCTCTTTCTCAGTCCCTACATCCAAAAATGTAAAAATTAGTCAATATCCTACTGTCATAGCTGATTTAGACAATATGCTAAGTATGTAGTCTTAGGAGAGGCTGGATCAAAGAGGAACATTGGTTCAGATTGTTCTAAAAGGTAAAAGATGCTCAAGTGTGAATAATTGTACTGTTGTCAGCGTAAGGATGCAGAATATAATCAAACACTGCATCTTCTTGCTGACTCCACCCCAGTCAAATGTGGAGTAGAGCAACACAGAGGTTAGCTGATAGGTTAGGCATGTGGGACTGCTTGCTGGAGTAAAGGTACACATACATTCAAGAGTTTGCAAATTCAGAGCTATAATGCTTAGTAATGGTGCCAACATCTTCATGCTAAACAAACCTTTCCTGCATTTTAAGGAACACATCTGCGATTTGCAGTTGCATTGAATGTGAGGTGTCCAGATGAAGACATGTTGATGTCCATCTGTTCGTGATTATATCTGCACTGGTGCAACTTATATATTTGTAGCAGATTTTTGTTGTTAAGTTTGTGGTTGAAAATCATTAAAACTCATCTCAGCAGAATATATTTTGCTTTTGTATCAATTAACTTAAGTTGTCACTCAGGCTGTTGTCTATTTGCCTTGCTGTTAAATATTTCAGAGGCTGGTTATAAACTTCTAATATGGCGACTTGCAAGTGTGAGTTCCACCCCGCCTCTGGCCAGAACAGTAATCATAGTTGCATCAACATAAAAATCTAAGATTATTTTAATCTTAAACTGTGTGCATTGAAAAGAAAGAGGAAGCAAATTATTAGGTACAACAGTTAAAAAAAAATTGTCACTGATGCATCACAGTGCTGTTGAGTTTGCATAAGGAACAAATCTTCATTACTCCTAGTAAATATGTGAAAAATAAAAGTAAACATTCTTTCTCACTCATATATTTGACTAATTTATTGGAAAAAATAATAATAAACTTTCTTTGTGTCATCCATCCACTCAAGAATGTCAGTTTCTCTGTTCTGCATGATTAAAAGCTTGCTGTGGTAGTTACCATTAATAAGAGATGTGTGAGTCAGATATTGATCATAGTGGAACTCTTATAAGGTATGGCCTAATGGGCTGGATGCTAGACTGGACTAGGTGAAACTTGGGTCCTGTTCCCAGCTCTGCCACTGGCATTTTGGATATTCTTGAGTAAGTCATGTCACCATTCTGTACTTCTGACGAAGTGGGTCTTTGCCCGCGAAAGCTTATGCTCCTACACTTCAGTTAGTCTATAAGGTGCCACAGGACTCCTCGTCGCTTTTGCAGATTCAGACTAACACGGCTACCCCTCTGATTCTGTACTTCTGTTTCTCTAGCTAGAAAAGAGAGTTAATGTGATGCTGACCTCCATTTTATAAAGCACTTTGAGGTCTACTTGGAAGGAGAAAGGCCCAAGATTTGGCATCAGTTTAGACTTACTAAGGTGTGCCCTCAGTTTTGTTCTCTATTTGAGATAGAATTTAACATAGATTTATATTCTTCTTGCAAAGGGACAGGCAGGATGTGGGTGACAGTCTATGTGTATTCATAAAACCTTTTGGAGGAAATAGCAGCTCTCTGGGAGGGGCTTGAATGAATACGTTAAATTAGTTTAGTAAATCTGAAAATGCTTAGTATGTTGCATTGATTAATCTTTCTTTCCTGTTTCCCAACCACTTGCCAAAAAGCCACTCTCTAACTAATGAGTTAGGAGATCTAGTGTGGGGGCAGACTGTTGCATAGCTGCTTATTACAGGATTGAGATTGTGTAACATGGAGCAGCGCTACCAGATGGCAGAGGTAACATAGGGCTTTACTAGCATTTTCATCATTTCTACCCTGCAAAGATGAAACAAGCTGATAAGGGTGGCATCTGACTGTCTCTTCTTTCTAGAAGAGAAGAAACTTGCGTCTGCAAGAAGTGCACTCTACATTGTCACTAGGTGATGGGAAATGGATCTCTTCGGGGGTGGTGAGGGGCTGTGAGATGTCTTGTCTAGTTACTATTTTCTCCTGCTTGTAAAGTTCCCTGGGATTTTTCTTTCTGAACTTTCAGATCTCCTGCATCAGGAGGACTTTGCTTCAGACATGTGAGTTCTGCACGTGGATTCCTCCAGAGCTCATTATAGTTTTTGGAAATGGAACATGGGGGAGAGGACATAATGCATTCTGCTTCCCTCCCTTGCTTATAATGATGACAAGCTTTACTTCTATAGCAGCAGTTCCCAACCTCTGGGCCATGGCTGTGGACCTCTGGCTGCCAGACTCTGGGGGCTGGGGCTGGGATACACTGCCCAGCACCTCCCCTCCCACAGCAGCTATTGTGAGAGCCATGTGCTGCCCTGCCTCTTAGCCAACCAGCCCCAGGCACTTCCCGGAAGTGGGAGAGTGCTTTGTTGTGTGGCGGAAGGGCTGCGTGGAGCCTGGCACAGCAGCCTTAGAACAGCCACAAACTGGGTAGCAGCACTCAGCTGCTGGCTAGGAGGCAGCGCAGGGCTAGGTGAGGGAGAGTGAGGCTAATGCTGGGGGGCTCGAAGAGGTGGGGGGTACCTGGGCGTCGGGGGTGGCGAGCTGGCCACTGGGGGGGTTCTGGGAGCTAGGGCTTTTGATGGATTGATAATACTTTATTTGCATATTCGTTATTTGCATAATGAGCATGCAAATATGCAAATAAAATGTTAATGGTCCTCAAAAGTTTGTGAATGGGTTTGCCGGTCTCTGGTATAAAAAAGGTTGGGAACCACTGTTCTATAGCGCTTCCTGACTAATTGTACCTTCCTGAGTGGCGTACTTTGCATTTGTCCTTATTAAACTTCGTTCTATTTACCTCAGACCATTTCTCTAGTTTGTCAAGA